AGAAAAGATTCTTGAATACTTCAGATGGGTCAGTATATTTATGATTCTTTATATTCATGTAGAAAAGATTCTTGAATACTTCAGATCAGTATATTTATGATTCTTTATATTCATGCAGAAAAGATTCTTGAATACTTCAGATGGGTCAGTATATTTATGATTCTTTATATTCATGCAGAAAAGATTCTTGGATAATTTAGGTGGAAATTTTGGATGAATTTTAAGAGGAACTCTTACCATAAAAAAAGTGCTTATAATTTTTCCATCAGTTAATTAATTCTGTTTGTTATTAAACGAAAATAATTGCAGTTTGGAAACATGGAGTAAATGAAAAAAAAATGAAATGAAATTTAAATGCAACAATTGATTTTAGCATAACGATTTATGCCAACGATGGATGGATGGTCTACAGAGATGATGTGAACAATGCCGCCCATGTTCCTTGAGGAAGAATGTTTCGGGTAATCTATAGATGATAATGATAACGTTAACATTGATATTGAAAAGAATTCAGAAGATATATTCATATAGGTTTAACAATCTTCGAATTTATGATGAATGATGGATAGGAAAGAATGCTTCTTAAATGGAAAAGATTATAGCACAATCAATAAACTATATGTCTGATAAGGAATCTCAATTGTAAGTTTTTCAAGTTTAATCATTCTTTATCATCTTATTATTGTTTTAGTTAAGAATTCTTAGAATACAAATATTACTTATCAAGTTATCTCATTAAATCATCTTCCTTTTCATTATCAATCCTTCATCGCATTTCTACTTTTATCCAATTTTAAATCATGTTAATATTCAAATATATATATATATATATTGAATATTATATGCTAATTTATACTAATCGATTCATTATCGCTTGTAATATAATAGTCGAAATAGTGAAAATTAATTAAACTATAATTATTTGACAATTGGAAATTATGTATTTTGCATCGAATTCCAACTTTATGTTGATGTAATGGCAGCATTCGTTGACAAAAATCTAAAATAGAATTTGATGGTATAAGAAATGTTCAAATGTGATACATGTAGATGACAATTTTAAATCATGATGACAATTCTAAATCATGATGACAATTCTAAATCATGATGACAATTCTAAATCATGATAACAATTCTAAATCATGATGACAATTCTAAATCATGATGACAATTCTAAATCATGATGACAATTCTAAATCATGATGAC